AGAATGGAAAAAAGTTGGGGGGGGGGGGTGGATTTCATAGGGCCCAAAGTGTCCAAACACATTTTGAGGTCATCTGGCCTCATCAGCAGGCTAATTTTTAATCCAAAACACTGATCGCCTCTAACGAAGCTAAGAAAAGCATTCCACTGTGAGCAGCTGGTTGGAAAAACTCCTCTCATTCGCCCTTTGACCCTCTAGTGAGTCAGTTCCCTCCCCCACTCCAAACCGAGGTGCTGGACTTCCCCGTGTGATGCAAACAGCTGTAGAGCAGCATCAGATCCAAACTCAAACTCAAACACACTGACGGCACGCACTCGTCTGTCACATTCACGAGCTGAGCTCTGAACACAATCACCTCTTTCTCCAGCCGACAGAGACTGTTTGGTCAAAACAACACGCACTAAACTACAACCAGCAAATATATTCCTTCTTCAGACGTCAGATAATTTGTACTGTTGCTCGTATGTCAGAGTCAGCCAGTCATTACTGCAACACAATTAAGTGATAATGACCAGCTAGCTGTGCATCATCCCACTTATCACAGGGCAGCTTTTATGCATTTGGCAAAAGGCTTTTATCCCAGCGACTGACACTGAATTTAAGCTATGCAGTTCATCAGTTCATGCACTCACAAATCAAACCTATTACCTTGCTGTTTGAGCAAATGCTGATCTGAGATCAAATTATTTTATTATCTGACTCTGTAGAGACAGCAGAGAGACGGAAGGACGGAAGGCTGACCAGATGAGTGGTCTGTTATACAGTGTTGTCCTGGACAACGCTCATTATTCAGAAATATTTGACCGCTGAATGCTGAAACTGACCAATCAGAATGAGAGCCTTGTAATAAAAGGCAATGCATAGTCTGGACAGCAATCAACCCATGTCTTTTGATGTTAAAGGAATAGTTTACCTCACCACAACTCCAGCACATCAATTCATGACTGAAAAAGCTGTGTTTGTAAGAAACAAATCAATCATTAAGACGATTTTAACTTTAAACCATTGCTTCCAAAATAGGAGTCTTTTATCCATTGCTTTCTCCAGTGAAAAAGTAGTCTCATCTGAATCAGAAGAGAAATCTGCGCAGATCAGGCAAAAACAGATATGAAACAAATATGTGGTGGATTTTGATGTGAGAGGAAAACAGGAGATGGACTTTTTAAAAAATTTTTTTTAAACATTTAAATTAAAGGGGTCATATGATGCGATTTGAAGTTGTTCTTTCTCTTTGGAGTGTTACAAGCTGATTGTGCATAGATAAGATCCCTGAAGTTGCAAAGACTAAAGTCTCAAAACCAAAGAGATATTCTTTATCAAAGTTAAGACTCTGCCACGCCCCCCTAAAACGGCTCGTTCTAACATGCCCCCACATATCTACCTCACTATGTGGAAATATTAGCATAATGCATACACAAAATAATGATCTTTTAAAAAAAGCATCATGTGACCCCTTTAAGTTTTTTTTTTGTCCAATTAGGCAAAAATACCTTTCAAATGCGCAATTCTGATTGTTGATGCAATGCATCTTTACAGATGGCATTTTCTCTTTGATAATGTATGATTAAAATTTTTTAAATCTTAGATCAAATCAGTGATTCTATTTGTATTTTCCTCTCTTCCCTGGAGCTACAACCTGCAATTGCGGTGTATTTGATCAACTTTGACTTGACTCGTGCCAATAAATAACGTTTTTTTGGCTCTGACTGAATGTATAAAGAAAAGAAATACAAACTTAATGACAAACAATGTGCAACAGCGAGATTCCGCACAAGCAGTGCCACTTTAAAGAGATAACCAACATTTATTGACTAAAGATGCTTCCCATAGAGGAAAAACTGCGTTCAGCCCAACATTGCTAATAAATCAGCCGAATAATATTGTAACTGTAACAGAGCCTAATGACGCGTTCAGCAGAATGGAACGTGAAGAGTTAGATTGTATCACTGTGTCGCCGCGTTCAGTGGAACTGTTACTTTGTGCGTTAGCCTATTGGCTACTGTAGTTAGCCTCTCTCCCTCTTATTTGTCCGCTATGTTTGTGTCTCTCTGCAAACAACATGTGGGTGAATCTGGGTGCCTTTACCTAGATCGTCCATGTTCGCGCGCTTCCAGAAGTGCTCCGCTCCTGATCCGAATCTGGAGAACAGTGTGTAGAGCTCGTTATCAGAAGACACGTCTCTGCTGAAGTTTCTCCTGCTCCTCCAGACGCAGGTCTGTGTGGCTGGACCGGACTGGACCCCCTAAACATCACAGAACAGAGGACTCACTTCACTGCAGCGGCCCCTGGCGGCCGAAGAGCGAAACAGCGTCGAGAAAGAGCCGGGAACTTTTCATTTCACATATTTATGAGCAGTGTTGGGGGTAACGCATTACAAGTAACGTACGTTACGTAATCAGATTACTTTTTTTCAAGTAACTAGTAAAGTTACGCATTACTTTTTAATTTACAAGAGAATATCTGAGTTACTTTTTCAAATAAGTAACGCAAGTTACTTTTTTTTTTTCAATTTATTGATTGACAGCTCTGCTGTCCCCATATTGAGAGAAATCAGATGTTACTGTAGTAATAAAATAAATATGAATATGCATTAATTCATCTCACTCACAAAAAAAAAAAAAGTTTAATTTTTTAAATTTTTGATTCAGTATTCCTCAAAATGAATAAAAATAATGCAACTCAGAATATGACGCAAACCTGCAATAATTCAATGTTAAACAACACAAATATCCTTTATGTATTTAATCCCATTCTATTAAGCAATGTCTTTGCTTCTGACCTTCGATGATCCAGTTCAACCGTACTAATAAGCAAAAATTACTCTAGACAAACATTTGTGTGTCTTTGTTTATTGCTGAAGTGTGTTGAAATGTCTTCTTCTGTATTCTACTGTACGGACGTAAATGTACTTTCCCTTCAGCCTGAGGTGCATTCATTTCACTTTTGGCGTGAAAAGGCTTTTATATTTGCCAAAAATATAACTTTTTTATTTTAAAAACAAACAAGCAAACCCTGTCCAGATTTAAAAAGTAGCGCAAAAGTAACGTAACGCATTACTTTCCATAAAAAGTAACTAAGTACCGTAATTAGTTACTTTTTTTATGGAGTAACGCGATATTGTAATGCATTACTTTTAAAAGTAACTTTCCCCAAGACTGTTTATGAATATGTAGTCATAACATGTAAATGTAGTCATATTTGTTTATGTTATTAACAATAGGAGGCTTCGATCAAACATTTATAAATAGCATGTGTAGGTGTAGGCCTACTATGTTTTTGGTTTTGATAAACTATATATTTCGGAAAGCAATCAGGATTAAAGTTTGAAAATCTCTCATGGACTTGACACTGTTAGAACTGTCAGCATTTATAATGTAACCGACAGTGACAATGTCACCATTAACACAATAGTCATTTATTTTGTATGTTAATATCAGTCTTTGTATCTATGCTTACATGTCTTCCAAACTATCATTTTCAATTTCAAATCAAATATTATTTGTTTGCTCCCTTGTAGACACTACATGTGCAGTCGTAAGAAGCTGTTTTGACTTGATCGGATTCTTATAAATTGGGGTTAAGGTTTTATGATGTAGCTAAATGCATTCAGCTTGATTCAGTTATATAAAATAATACTTTGACTGGAATAAAGCTGGTTAAATTTCATATTTCACCCAAAATCAATCTATTTTAGGACAAATACGATTTTTTGTTTATGTATTTTTATTTTCCTGTTTTTTGCATTTGCATAAATTTCCCTTTTTTGAAAAATACTTGAATCATAAATGAAAAGGAATAAATCAAATGTATTTTTTCAATACAGTGAGACTTTGCTTGAATTACAGAAACGGTCGTTTCTCACGGAACATGCTGAAAGTCAGTATGTGTTTGTTTTGTGGTTAGTGGATCATGTTGAGAATGCATGTGATTCTCCTATACCTGCGGTTCCTCTGCTGTGTGAACATTCAAAGACATCGAGAATTGACAAGATAGTGAAGAGAAGAGATCCTGAAGCATTTGAGATACGCAGATACAGACGATTCATTTAATGCACTGACACTCTGTATTTGTGTAAATGTGCAGCACAAAAATATATTTTTATTTCAGTTCAATTCTATAATAAAGTCTCTGCTAAATGAAGAAAGAATAATAATCATATAATATTATCAAATAAATAACCTGAAAGCAAGAGGAAGCTGATCACGTATCACGTGTGTGTGCATATGATTAAAATGCACTGAAATCATATTATCGGTTTTATCATGTCACAAACTGAAGAACATTAAACACCTATAAAACACTCCATCTTTACAAAAACTGAAAAACAAAAGGAGAAATAATGAGTAACTTTATTGTCATAATATTGTTTAAATAAATAAAAAAAAATCATAATGAGCATTTGAAATATTTCTCCTTATGTGAACGTGGCATAACTTGGAAAAGTTCATGTTTGTCTTTAAAACAGGCATCTCTGATTTTGAATAGCGGTTTGTACGTTGCTTTTTCAGCGACCGCATTAACACAAGATGCGTTACATTCAGTCCACTGTGGTTGAAATAAAAAAATTAAAATACAAAATTGCCGGAGACTTCCAAAATCGTCTCACATTATGAACATTCATTTCAGAGCATCTTTAAACCACAGATGACACGTAACTCAAATGTCCAGTTTTTAAAATCAAGTCCTGATTTTGCGTCAGAAGTCCACTGCCTTCAGTTTCTTCTCCTCTTGTTCGGTCAAAGACTCCTGAGCCAGAATTTTGCCGTGCAGACGGTGATGCTTCCCGATGCCCAGTTTGGGTAACCCTCGATTCAGGCCCTCCAGCAGAACACAGGACTTACACAGGGCCTGACTGGAGATGTAGCCGCAGCGCGAGCACGTTCCCTGCACCGGCATCTTCACCCCCTCCTTTATAGAGAGCGTCTCGCCGGAGTGGATGACGTCTATGATGGAGCTGGGCCTGATGGACTCCAGGTCTTTGAGGAAGGTGCGAGCGTGTCCCCGGTAGGCGTTGGGCGAGTAGATGCACTCTGTGGAGAAATAATCAAGCTTCTTGAAATAGGCGTAGAGGACGATTTCTTTCTCGTAGGCGTATTTGAGGGGCTTGCAGCGTGGGATGGCACCCTCTCCGTCACTAGCCGTGCTGATGGAGGTGCAGCGCCGGAGACGAGCGATATCTCCACGCAGGACATTCATCAGCACCGTCTCTGCCACGTCGTCTGCATTGTGACCTGCTCAATAAACAAAAAAAGTTATGGAGGACCAAACTTGCATAAATAAATAAACAAAAGGAAAACAAAGGAAGAAATTATACATTTTTAATTAATTAATTAAAACTTTTTTTTTTTAACTTTTTCCCTTTATTATTTTCTGTATTTATTTTAAATGTTTTATTCTTTTTAACTTTATTTTTAATTCTTTCATTTATTTGTATATCTATTCGCATAATAATTTCTACTTTTCTGTGTGCAACATGGAAATGAGGGAGCTGGTCCTTTCTGCATCATTGGTTGATCTTGTCTAATACAGTTATTTAAATTTTTTATTTTTACAGGCTTGATCATCCATTAAAGAGAAGTGTTAACTCTATTTAACTTTTTTCTTTCTTCACGAGGATGATTTTTGGTCTACCCTTGTCCCTGTCCCTTCTATAGGAGTTCAGACTATTTGAGAGCATTTCAGAATAATTTTAGAGATGAAAAAGGAAAAAATGAAATAAGCGTTACACTGTATAAAACATATAAATGTATAAATCCTTATAAATTAGTCTCACGGTTTTGTAGGTGTAATCCGATATATTCGGGATGATTCAATCAGTCATATTAAATCATATTTTTGATTTGGAAACAAACATTTTCACGTCATATTTTGCCCAAAATGTAAAGAAAAAAAATACGCAATTATATTTTGCATAAACTTTAATATTAATTTAATTACATTTCTCTTTGAAAAATACTGTAATATGTAACTTTTATTATCTTTGTATTAGTTTAACTTAATTTTATGTTTAGTAATGTGTGTCAGTAGATGATCGTTTTAGAATTAGTTATACAGTAAACAACTGAAAATGGAAATATATAACATGAACTGAAATATCAGGATTAAATTCGCAGATGACCTTGAAAGAATCGAAATACAGCTCTACTTCCAAACACACATGCAAATGTATTAAGGTTGAGATGGTACAATGCAATTTATTGAAGGTCACATATTTTACACCTTTCTAGAGTTTTATTTTAGGTTTTGAAGTCCTTAAGAATATATATTTGCGGTATAAGTACCAAAAACCATCTCAATATATTTTTACAGCTCCTTTCTCAGGAGCTCTGCTGAGAACAGGTCGATTTTGGCCTGTCGAATTAATATTTATGAGCCTCTCTTCTGATTGGCCTGTTGTGTTCTGAGTGACGCACGGCCAGGCCAACCACAGGTAACTAGGGTCAGCCGACGTCACAGCGCTAGCTGGAGGCAGCAAAACAAAGGGGAAACTGGAGGCGGCCCATTCAAACCAGCGCAGGTTCAGCTACATAAGCAGCTTAAAATATCATCTTGTTGTGATGTTGGGTGCCAGAATCGACGTAATAAATTAGAGCCTCAAAATTAGAAATTTGATCGCATATCTGCTGCCACTGCCAGACAAAAAACCAACGACAGCTGTGGTTAAACGTGATAAAATGAGCGGACTGGACAGAAACGATCGTCAGAAATGTTCGCTTTGCAGCGCACACTTCTTATCAGAAAAGGTTCAATAAAGTATTGTCTTTTGTTGTTATGGGCGCGTTTACAGATTATGTTTCTTGCATCTCATGAGTCACGACTATGTCGTGTATGAAATAATGTCCGTGTGCATGTGTGTAAAACAAACTGACGATTTATATATAATAATTTGTAATTGTATATACATTGTTGTGATTAATTGTGGCTGGAACAATAATGTAGCTGTAAAAATAGTTGCCTGCTGAAATTGAAATGTATAAACATCTTCATCATGACTAGATAGACACGGTGAGTTTGTCGTTACTATACATGTTAGATGTGATCCACCGCATAGTAATAATCCTGTCAGATCCTCCATCCTTTGAGTGAGAGTGTAATGTTACAGGTCGACCGATCTGGTTTCGTGGTTAAAGTTAACCTTTTCGACATGTTTCCGTGTTGTTGTTGTTGCTCAGCAATGGCATGGACGTGATGTTGTCTGGGGGTTTGGCTAAAGGAGAGTGGGACTGTGGGCGGTGCTCGGGGAGGTGACTGAAGGCGGTGACTGTGTAGTTCTGACGTCAACTTTTTACGGAAGTCACAACGGTTTGTGAAAAATCACAGCTACTTTATGCAGGCTATGTGCATTTTACTGTGGACTGACTGTTTGGAAACTTATATGGTAGTTAAATAGCCCCTAGACCTTTCAGTTTTGACAATATGGGACCTTTAACACCGAAACACATGGTTTGTCTTGCAGAATGTCTCAAATCTGACACACACATGCTTGATCAAACCGGAGAAGGCAGCGAAAGACCGTGATTACTTGCCTGTGCATATCCTGTCCACTTTCAGCATCATGGCTCCTCGGTCCAGCGCCTGCCTGCGAAACACACCGCAGAAAGTGCAGTTATTCTTCAATCCCACCTGCTTCACGATGGCGTCCATGGTCCAGCCATACAGCTCTTCATAAGACACGATCTTCAGCGGCAGCTCATACTGCTGCTGGTTCCTCTTCACCGTCTCCAGCGAATCATCTCTGTAACCCGTGATGCCCTCATCCACCGACAGCAGCAGAAGGTCCAGGCCGTAACCGTAGCGCTCGTTCAGGACCTTCATCACATGGGCCAGAACGGTAGAGTCCTTCCCACCCGAGGCACCGATGGCCACGGTTTCTCCACGGTTAAAGAGTCCAGCGGACACGATGGTTTGATGGATCTCCTCCTCGAATGCCCAAAAGAAGCAGTCCTTACAGAGAGAGTGTCCGGTCTTGGGCCGTTTGAGCACAGCACGTCTCTGGACGCAGTTACTGCACTGGACCGGCATGATGACGCACACAGGGCACTGCAGAGCATTTCAGAGAAATATCAGATCAAATGTAAAAGCAGCTATATATTTTTTTTGTATAAAGACCTAATTTTTACTTTCTATATATATATATATATATTATAAATACTACTTTAAAAAAAATTTATTTTATATTGTGTCATTATTACATTTTTCTTTTTGACATAGCAATGTTAGATGAATTATTTAAAACCATTTTAAAATAAATGTATGTAATTCTTCATTTAATTATTTTATTCTAATTATTTATCGATTTAGTTAATCTCATTTATTTATTTTATTTCTTTGTATTTTACCACAGACCTCCCGCACTTTCTTGCAGGCCCTAGTTTGAAAAAACCTGCTTTTAGTATTATTTCCATCCCATTCCATTTCCAACATAAATGTTCTTTAGATTGAAGGAAAGCGATGGTCCTTCTAAAAAAAAAAAAAAAAAAGGTTATTTTGAATATGTCCTCTGAAAGTAACATGCTACAAAATAGAAATATATAACATAACCTATGCAACTAAAAAGCATATTAACTTAAGGTAAAATGTGGTGGTAAATACAATTCTTAAAGATGTAATAGCATTTCCCATAACAGGAATGAAAGTTGTTGGACTGAATTGTAAAAGTGCATTTGTATGCACCTGGACCCTAGTGATTACAAGCAGAAATCACCTCGAAATGACCCTAAACCCGTGCACACGTTTGTTTAATGGTTTGTTACTCGCTTAAGGAGTGAATAAACTAATACCTGAAATAAATTCAGTGCCTGAAAGGGTTAACGAATTGTCAGAAACTATAACTGAATATGGAAGTTCACAGCGTCTGAGAGAATCAGAGTATTCCAGAATCATTTTAGAGAGTAACGCATTCAAATGCATTAAAAAAAATACTACTTGATCTGTATGAAACTCATTTAACAAAAAATGCAAACCTTTTTAAGTATTTCCTACGGGGTGTGATTCATTTAAACGAGTTAAGATGTAAGACGAAGACGTGCTAAAGAAAATAAAGCGTTAAACCGTTATAAAACAAAGATCTGATGAGCTTAAAGGTAAACAATAAACCTAGTCTTCTGACTTAAAACACAACTGACAGGATTGTTTCCTTCATCCAGAACAGCTTCTGCTTTGGCTGTAGTATAGAACACACGTTTCACGCACGTGACGTCACTGACGCAGTGCACGTCTTGAACGTCAGTCTTCACGTTCTGTAAACATTGATCACCAAACCAATTTTTGTAGTGATACAATATTTATTGGGGATATTAATATTGTAATAGATAAATGTAGTAACAAATATATTAGAAATATTTTTAAAACAAATTATTAAAAAAGCTAGAAAGACCTATGAAGCTTTTTGTTACTTTAAATTGTTGTAATTTTACCCCTGGCTTGAATTGTTTCACTTTACATATTATGATTGTTTATTTGTTTTTGTACTTGCTGCGAGTTGTATATGTTTGTACAAATCTTTTTATAATTTTTGCATAATAAAAAAAATAGAACTCCTAAAAAAAAAAAAGTCAGTCTTCACGTTGACTCGGAATTCAGGCGCCCTCTTTTGTCCTGGCGACAAATAAATATCATAAATATCAAAATATCATGAATATGAGGTAGCAGTACTTTAAATGCATTGTATTTTAAGTGCACAATAAGCTTACGAGTGTAAATAAGGTTTTGGACCATTGGTAAATAGCAACAAATTGCTTCTTTTTAAACCTGAGTGCAGAGTTGGGCTGACAGGTTCAAAGCCACTGCCATATATTTATGTAGCTAATATGACCAAAACTTAAATTACAAAAAGAAATGGTGTTGCTAACAAGCGGCACATGAGGACATTTGTATTTGAAAAACAACCAGCCAACAACAATTACAGACACGAAGAATAAGTAGCCTATGTACACACACAAACTTATAATTGTCTTTCTTCCAGAATATGATCCAACGGTGATTTAAAAGGGATTTGCAGATGAAAAGATTCAAACTCAAGTGATAAATTATTTAAAATTAATATTAAAAATATTTGTGGAGTAAAATTAATCACTAAATCATTCCAAAACCTGAGGTGACATTAACTGAAGTACCAATCATAGAGATCATGAGCTTCTTTATATTCCCTGCATCGTGCGATATAGTCACAGGCAGTGCAAATAGCCAGAATAAACTCTTGTCTCTGCAATATTAAATGAGGACTTGGAGTGAGATGTTTCCTCCAGTTAAAGTACTTGCGATATGCATCTTCATCCTTGTCCAGCTGAAGCAGATATTCGGCTAGTGACTTTGGATCTGGGAAGTCATCGACATGAATGAAGGACTCGGCAGGAACAAAGTTCTCATAGTTTCTTCTCGGAGGACCCAACACCACAGGGACGGTACCTGCCGCGAGTGGCCCGTTTATCTTCTCAGTGATGTAGTCTTTGTGGATGGAGTTCTCAAAGGCAAGGTAAAATTTGCAACTAGCCATGGTTGGATAGTAGTCGTCGTAACCCAGAAACCTTGCAAAAGCCTTTCCGAACAAAGTCACTTGGATGTATTTGCTGAATTCCCTGTAAAAAATGTTCCTTGTGTCAACACCAGTTGATGGATCCTTGTTACTTACAATCCAACACACCAGTTTGTCCTTTTTGGGAATTACAAAATCCTCATTAGGTTTTTTCCTGGTGATCAAGCGCATCCGTACAGGAATATCAGCATCCTGTCTGTAGCTGAGAGTGAGATTGAACAGGTTTTCCAGACCTCGGATCCTTTTGGTGTTGGTTGGTGATTCCAAATGCAACCAAATCCACCTTTGGAACGGAGGACGAGGAGATGGAGGAAGGTTGGACAGATCAGTGATGGCTCTATGATAAACAATGACATTATCTGCACTGTTGTAGAGAGCTCTATCATCCGTCAGTTGACAACGATCAATATTGTAAAACTTTTTGCAGTCACTGAAATCAAACCTATAATTTTCAGGCCAAACCCATAACAGAAGTACAGGTTTCTCCTCTGCTTTATCAGTAAGAGAGTTGTTAGTCTTGGCACAGTTATGTACTGAGTTTAGTTTGGGTTTAGGAAGTGGCGGTGGACAGTTGTGAGAAGGTGAGAACCGGGAAAACATGACGCTCATAGAGATGACACCTGCAAATGTCACTATTACACCCAGACGGCACAGCAATGAGCCATTTTTGCTCGACATCTTCTGATCTAAAAAGAATAATAAAAAGGAAGTGATCAGACTCGATCACCACTGAGAATAAAAACACTTGATATTAAAAGGTATTCTGAATGAGATATAAGGTAGCTACCACTGTGTCTGTTCTGTGGGAGAGACAAAAACTACAGCACAGATAATGGAAGCTAATCGTTGTTTTATTTGCTAAATTTGACATATGTCTCATACAATTAGATAAGATTCAAATAGTGCAAAGTCTGGAAACAATGTATTAAATTAGTATAAGTACTAAATAAGTAGTAAATAAATAAAGTAAACAAATATGTAAATAAATAAATCCTCACCGCTTTTAAGAGCCCTTGATTAAAAGAAATTTGGAGTTCTTTGTCGCATATATTGACAACGTGTTCAGTCAGTGCCAGAGGATCACACTACATGTATGCTGAAAGACGGAAGTTTCAGACTAGAGAAGTATCGGATCGGAAATTATTCTGAACAAACGCGTGGAAGCCAGCGCTTGCAAACTCATGGGTTCAGACACACCTGTTGCGTGTGAGCGAACCGAGTTCGAATCCCAGTTCGTGGACCCTCCCGATCTTGTCCGAACTCTATTTGAATGAAGGCGAAAATGCCTAGATCATTCTGAGCCTTCTATGCACATGTGACCCACCAGGGTTAGGTTTAACTGCTGCCAGCATCAGGTCACACATTTTCAGTTTAAGTTCAACAGATGTTTGAGATGTTAAAAAGTCACGTTTGTCAAGGATTCTTCTAAAACTTCAGGTACGATGCTCTTGTAGTCATTTTGCTGGTTGTCCGTTCCAGACAATTTGTCTCGCTCATGGACTGAATAGATCCACACCGTGACCTATTAATATAGATGTATATCCTTAAGATACTCCACAGACAGTCAGACAAATCCTAACGGCAAACACACAGTAAATTTAAGCAGTCAGACAAATGATAGTCTGGGAACATATACAATACGCAGGCAAAAGCAGGAAATACAGTTCATGAGAGTCACCTGAGAACACGCAGGAATCAATGCAATGGTGGCCTCTGGTGGAGACATGCTATGATCAAAAATAACTTGACTTCCTATGTTCAAATTACTCGTAAAACAAAATTAAACATAGCCTACTTGTTTGTTTTGTAACAGCATATGGCATCAATAAAGTGTGTGAAGTAACGAATTACAAATACTCACGTTACTGTAATTAACTAGTATTTTTTTTAATCATAAATTGTACTTTTTTTTAGCAGTTTCAAAATTGTGTACTTTTACTTGTACTTGAGTACATTTTTAGTGATGTATCTGTACTTGTACTCTGCCATTTCCCCTCCGTTTGTGGTCGTTACATGCTTGTTTTAATATCCATCAATGTGATTCACTGAAAAAAAATAAAAAATAACGTCACCTGTTTCTAAATATATTGATTATGTAGGCACGACTATATAAGTATTTAAGTAATTTGCGCCAGAATTAAACCATAAGTGCTGAATGTAACAACCCAGTAAGCCAGATTTGGCAAATCTGTAAATTTGTTAACAGACAGTAAGAATTTTTAACTGATTAATCGCCTCTTTCATTTACTGCATGTTTAAAAAAACACGCTAAACATAAATTTGACATTTTTGAGAGGAAACATATAACAGATAGCTATGTCACGTAGCCTATAAGTCGCATTTTATACATTCAGAAATAATAGGCTACCTGCAGGCCTAGTAATGTTATGTATCAAACACTAAACAGAGGCTATTTTAGTTCCCTTCACCCCACAACAAATCCTTTAAATGTAACCGTATTCAGAACAGAACAATAATTAAAAAAAATATATCATTCTAATGAATAAATATAATATAACTGCAGTATGTAATGTAGGCCTAGCCAGAGGTGCCGCTAAGGGGGGGTGATTCTAAGGGCCCATGAACTTTTGGGGCACCCAGAGATCTGTTTTATTAGCAGTAACAGTACTAGTAGTAATGCAATAGATATTATAAATGTATCTACCAAAGAGTTACAAATAAAACAAAATTACGGCTTATTTCTGCATTTCTGGCAAAATTCAGTGAGCAGTGCAACCCAAAATGGTTCGACGAAGATGTGAGTCTAAAGATCTAAATATTTGTGGATTGGAAACAAATGGAAAATTGACAAGCTTTTGCTGCAATTCTATGGATGTTTTGCCCGACAGGTCTTCGAGCCAGTCACGTGACTGAAAACGAATTGTATCCTCTAACACCATTGGTTCATACGCTTTGTATCATGCCAGTAAAGTTACTGGAATCTCAATTTGCTGATTGCGATGCAGTTTTTTAAAAATAGGATACACATCTCAACCACAGAACACATCATTCCAAAACCTGAGGTGACATTAACTGAAGTACCAATCATAGAGATCATGAGCTTCTTTATATTCCCTGCATCGTGCGATATAGTCACAGGCAGTGCAAATAGCCAGAATAAACTCTTGTCTCTGCAATATTAAATGAGGACTTGGAGTGAGATGTTTCCTCCAGTTAAAGTACTTGCGATATGCATCTTCATCCTTGTCCAGCTGAAGCAGATATTCGGCTAGTGACTTTGGATCTGGGAAGTCATCGACATGAATGAAGGACTCGGCAGGAACAAAGTTCTCATAGTTTCTTCTCGGAGGACCCAACACCACAGGGACGGTACCTGCCGCGAGTGGCCCGTTTATCTTCTCAGTGATGTAGTCTTTGTGGATGGAGTTCTCAAAGGCAAGGTAAAATTTGCAACTAGCCATGGTTGGATAGTAGTCGTCGTAACCCAGAAACCTTGCAAAAGCCTTTCCGAACAAAGTCACTTGGATGTATTTGCTGAATTCCCTGTAAAAAATGTTCCTTGTGTCAACACCAGTTGATGGATCCTTGTTACTTACAATCCAACACACCAGTTTGTCCTTTTTGGGAATTACAAAATCCTCATTAGGTTTTTTCCTGGTGATCAAGCGCATCCGTACAGGAATATCAGCATCCTGTCTGTAGCTGAGCGTGAGATTGAAAAGGTTTTCCAGACCTCGGATCCTTTTGGTGTTGGTTGGTGATTCCAAATGCAACCAAATCCACCTTTGGAATGGAGGACGAGGAGATGGAGGAAGGTTGGACAGATCAGTGATGGCTCTATGATAAACAATGACATTATCTGCACTGTTGTAGAGAGCTCTATCATCCGTCAGTTGACAACGATCAATATTGTAAAACTTTTTGCAGTCACTGAAATCAAACCTATAATTTTCAGGCCAAACCCATAACAGAAGTACAGGTTTCTCCTCTGCTTTATCAGTAAGAGAGTTGTTAGTCTTGGCACAGTTATGTACTGAGTTTAGTTTGGGTTTAGGAAGTGGCGGTGGACAGTTGTGAGAAGGTGAGAACCGGGAAAACATGACGCTCATAGAGATGACACCTGCAAATGTCACTATTACACCCAGACGGCACAGCAATGAGCCATTTTTGCTCGACATCTTCTGATCTAAAAAGAATAATAAAAAGGAAGTGATCAGACTCGATCACCACTGAGAATAAAAACACTTGATATTAAAAGGTATTCTGAATGAGATATAAGGTAGCTACCACTGTGTCTGTTCTGTGGGAGAGACAAAAACTACAGCACAGATAATGGAAGCTAATCGTTGTTTTATTTGCTAAATTTGACATATGTCTCATACAATTAGATAAGATTCAAATAGTGCAAAGTCTGGAAACAATGTATTAAATTAGTATAAGTACTAAATAAGTAGTAAATAAATAAATTAAGTAAACAAATATGTAAATAAATAAATCCTCACCGCTTTTAAGAGCCCTTGATTAAAAGAAATTTGGAGTTCTTTGTCGCATATATTGACAACGTGTTCAGTCAGTGCCAGAGGATCACACTACATGTATGCTGAAAGACGGAAGTTTCAGACTAGAGAAGTATCGGATCGGATATTATTCTGAACAAACGCGTGGAAGCCAGCGCTTGCAAACTCATGGGTTCAGACACACCTGTTGCGTGTGAGCGAACCGAGTTCGAATCCCAGTTCGTGGACCCTCCCGATCTTGTCCGAACTCTATTTGAATGAAGGCGAAAATGCCTAGATCATTCTGAGCCTTCTATGCACATGTGACCCACCAGGGTTAGGTTTAACTGCTGCCAGCATCAGGTCACACATTTTCAGTTTAAGTTCAACAGATGTTTGAGATGTTAAAAAGTCACGTTTGTCAAGGATTCTTCTAAAACTTCAGGTACGATGCTCTTGTAGTCATTTTGCTGGTTGTCCGTTCCAGACAATTTGTCTCGCTCATGGACTGAATAGATCCACACCGTGACCTATTAATATAGATGTATATCCTTAAGATACTCCACAGACAGTCAGACAAATCCTAACGGCAAACACACAGTAAATTTAAGCAGTCAGACAAATGATAGTCTGGGAACATATACAATACGCAGGCAAAAGCAGGAAATACAGTTCATGAGAGTCACCTGAGAACACGCAGGAATCAATGCAATGGTGGCCTCTGGTGGAGACATGCTATGATCAAAAATAACTTGACTTCCTATGTTCAAATTACTCGTAAAACAAAATTAAACATAGCCTACTTGTTTGTTTTGTAACAGCATATGGCATCAATAAAGTGTGTGAAGTAACGAATTACAAATACTCACGTTACTGTAATTAACTAGTATTTTTTTTAATCATAAATTGTACTTTTTTTTTAGCAGTTTCAAAATTGTGTACTTTTACTTGTACTTGAGTACATTTTTAGTGATGTATCTGTACTTGTACTCTGCCATTTCCCCTCCGTTTGTGGTCGTTACATGCTTGTTTTAATATCCATCAATGTGATTCACTGAAAAAAAATAAAAAATAACGTCACCTGTTTCTAAATATATTGATTATGTAGGCACGACTATATAAGTATTTAAGTAATTTGCGCCAGAATTAAACCATAAGTGCCGAATGTAACAACCCAGTAAGCCAGATTTGGCAAATCTGTAAATTTGTTAACAGACAGTAAGAATTTTTAACTGATTAATCGCCTTTTTCATTTGCTGCATGTTTAAAAAAACACGCTAAACATAAATTTGACATTTTTGAGAGGAAACATATAACAGATAGCTATGTCACGTAGCCTATAAGTCGCATTTTATACATTCAGAAATAATAGTCTACCTGCAGGCCTAGTAATGTTATGTATCAAAAAACACTAAACAGAGGCTATTTTAGTTCCCTTCACCCCACAACAAATCCTTTAAATGTAACCGTATTCAGAACAGAACAATAATAAAAAAAAATATATCATTCTAATGAATAAATATAATATAACTGCAGTATGTAATGTAGGCCTAGCCAGAGGTGCCGCTAAGGGGGGGGGGGGG